TGATTTACACTAATCAATATAGCTGCTAAGGGAGTCAGAGTACTTCTAAGTCAGCTCAACCCATTCTCTTTTCTGTAGCTAAGTCTACATGAAATGCCACATTACAAGCTGGGTGTGGTGTGCTGACCAAGAAATCAGAGCGGATTAAATGACCTCCAGGTGTGCCTAGTGAGCTAACATGGTCCCATATATTTCACTCACTCCAAGAGTACAGCAACCCAATAATTGTGTAGTCAGGAGAACCTGTTTTTTCGTCTAGCTTCTATGCAAACTGTTGCTTATGTCATTTCATTTTTGTCACTTAAATTTAATTACAAGGTATTTCAGGCATACAAAAAATAGAGATAATATAAGGAGCACTCTTGTACCTATCACCTTGTGTAAGAGATAAAACATTACAGATACATTTTAGCCCTTTGTGTACTTCATCCCAATCCCGTATCTCTCCTGCTCTCCCTGGCCATTACCACTATCCTGATTTTGATGTTTATTATTCATATGCATGCTTTTACATTTTTAACTGCAAACTTGGTTAAACTTTATGTACATGGTATTAGGACGTATATCCTAAATATCTTTCGGATATGTTTATTGTTGCCTGGCATTCCACTGAATGAACACACCACGACTTTCACTTGTGTTACTATAGTCAGGCTTCCCCTGCTTCCGCAGGCCCCTACCCTCATGCTCCAGCCGGCTTTTGTTTCTACACAGGTCCTTAACACAGCTTCTGATCTTTTAAAGAGACTTGGGAATATCCCGTCCTCTTCAACAGCGTGCTTATAAATTGTTTCTCAGTTTAGGGCACTTCTGCAGATAATGTCATTATTTACCAATGCTGACTAGATTTATTCTGAGGGTTTTCCTTTCCTGACCATATCCCCAGTACTTGGCACCCTTGACCGTAGTTCACTGTAAAATCACCCTCCTAGGTATGTAACCCTATAACCCAGGAGTTGTTTATAATGGACAGTAGTCTATATTTTGAAGACTCAGGTCAACATTTTAGATTTTATTTATTTATTTTTAGACAGAGGGATAGGAGGGACAAAGAGAGGGAAACATCAATGTGTGGTTGCCTCTTGCACAACCCCCCCTAGGGACCTGGCCCGAAACCCAGGCATGTGCCCTGACTGTGAACCAGTGACTCTTTGGTTCTCAGGCTGGCATTCAATCCACTGAGCCACACTAGCCAGGGTAACATTTTTCTTTCATCAGCCCTCAAGATAGCTGCTTGAAGGGGCACTTCCTACACTATTATGGACTGAACGTTTATTGTTCCCCCACCAAAAAAAAAATTCCTATGTTAAAGCCTTGACTCCTAATGTGAAAGTATTAGGAGATAGGGCCTTTACGGAAGTAATTAAAGTTAAATGAAGTCACAAGGGTAGGGCCCTTATCTGAGAGAATTAGTATCCGTACAAGAAGATGTGAGGACACAGAAAGAAGGTGACCAACTGCAAGGCAGGAACAGAGCCCTTATCAGAACCCAACCTTGCTGGTACCTTGATCTTGGACCTCTAACTGCTGAAACTGTGAGGAAAAAAATGTTTCATTGTTTAAGTTATACAGTCTATGATATTTTGTTATGCCATCCTGAGCAGACGAATTTATGTCTGATTCCCAAGAGCTGAACACACAGTACACTGAAAAAGAAAAGCAACCAAGGAGTCAAGAGTGGTGGACAGGCTGGGTTGTCCCCTGGATTCAGCCACTTGAGGGTATGACACTGAACCCTCTTGAACCTTCATTTTCCTCTTCTGTGAAGTGAAAGGCTTTAAGTAGAACTTCCTCAGGTCCCTCAAAACTTCCAAATTAAAAGGGTTAAATCGCCTATTGTGGGCTATGGCTTGGGCAATGACAGAGCTCAGGATTCCATCCTCAAGAAGTAATTAATGGATGCTCACAAAGATTTTGTTACAAGTATGTTCATGACAGAACAGCATTTAATGGCAAAAAAAAAAAGCAAACAAAAACCTGTAAATGATCTGACTATCCAACAATAAAGTAGTTCAGTTATAGGAGAACCAGGCAACAGAACAAGGGAATGTAAAACACCGCTTTGGTCATCATTAACAGCGAGGATATCATGTGGAGAAACCTTGTTTTATACAATCAAACATTGGCAAAAACTCTTAGATAATCCCATCAGTGAGAATAGAACATCACAGTCTTGTAAGGATCAGAGCCATGTGGGTCACTCTTTAAAAACTCTATTTGAACTGCTTTATTGGGGTGGAGTTGACAAAAATTAAACTACAATATTTAAAGTATTCAACTTGATAGTTTTGACACATTTGGTACATACCCATGAAAACCATGGTAACAATGAAAACTCTGTGACTCCTCCAAGTTTGCTGGTACCCCTTAGTAATCCCTCCCTCCCACTTCCCCTTGCTCCTCCCTGCCTCCAATAAGTAACCACTGATTTGCTTTCTGTTACTAATTTGCATTTTCTAGTCTTATATAAGTGGAATCATATAGTATGTACTTTTTTTTGACTGGTTTCTTTCACCCAGCATAATTATGGTGAGATTCATCTATGCTGTTGCATGTGCTCAAACTTCATTCCTTTTTATTTCAGAGTGGTATTCCAGTCTGAGTCACTTTGACTCTTAGAAAAACCAGTCTTTAATTACAATCCTGGTGGTTATTCCAGCTAAGACGTTCCAGAAACATTTCACATTTGTAGACTTTCAGAAGAATCCTTTGATGTGAGCCCTAAGAAGGAATTTATCTGCTGAGATGGACTCTCCATGATCACCCGAAGACCTATATTTTATAAATAACAGCCTGGCAGCCTTTGTGGACAGTGGCTTCTCAAGCAAGTACTCTAAATACCAGGAAGAATCTCAGACTGAACTCCTGGCTTCCTACACTATGTACGCCCTGCCTGATTACCCAGCTGAGTCAACTATTGTAGTGAATTCCTGGTTTTATCTTTCCACCTATGGAGTAAGACCAGCCTAACCCCATCCAATCAGAACTACTTGACTCAGACCTATGGGAAGTATACAAACTGAATATCTCAATTATGCCAAATAGATCTAATTGGGAACCTGGCCTGGAACTTTCACTATAAAAGGCAACCTCACCTTTCTGTTCCCGGAACACAATTTAGGTTGCTTTCTGAATCCGTGTTTTCTGGACTGCAGCCCCTTTTGATCAAATAAATGCTTTTTATTCTGTAGTATGGCTTTAAATTAATATTGGTTTGCACACTTCACTTTGCTGTTTCCGCAAAGTTAGGATTCTGTGTCTACTCAGGCTCAGGCCTGATATTCACTCCTTTACACGTGGTCTGCTTTGCTTTGCATCTTTCGAAGCATTGCTTCATTTAAATTTTACCTAAATTTCATTCTGCTGCAAGTAAATAAGTCCAACTTTGTGGGACTTACAGATGTGTTCCTATGAGCTTTATCGGATGGACTTTATCAACTGACATGAATGTTCATGACCATGTTAAATGTGAAACAGTAAATAGTGAATGATCATATTTTTGTTTTTAAAATACAATTATGTGGCAAGACGACTATATACTTATACATACAAATGATTATATAATCATTTAAAACCATGTTTATCACCAAATACAGTAAACATACATTTTATTTTTAAGATTAAAGGTCACAGAAAAAAAGTGATCATGATTATATATAATCAATAATTGGCTAGGCTGCCAAAAGAACAGGCAAACCCTGGTACTACTGTATAATAGCTTAATTCATAAATCCACCCTCATGAAAACAAAACATAAAAGTAGGATCATAAATCTAATATAAACATAAATGGAATTTGGAACCTTTTAGAGTTAAAGCAGATTCCAATGACACCTTCTCAGTTTTGGGCCTTGTAATTTTCATTGTCTTTAAGTCTGTACAAATCCTAACAGAACTTTATTTTCACTATTTAGGTGATAATGCTAATGAAATTTTAAAACCCTAGATACTCTGAAACATCATCTTTGTAATTAAAATCTGAAAAGGTAATTCATTTCCTCCTAATAGTCAACACAATCTGTAAAAATGTAAGTTTTTACAGCCGCTTTTCTGGTATTTTATAAAAGCTTAAAGTGCACCCTAACTGGTGTAGCTGAGTGGATTGAGCACAGACTGTGAACCAAAGGGCACATGCCTGGGATACAGGCCAGGTCCCCATGTGAAAGGCAATCACACATTGATGTTTCTCTCCCTCTCTTTCTCCCTCCCTTCCCCTCGCTCTAAAAATAAATAAAATCCTTTTTTTAAAAAAAGCTTAAAGTGCAACGAGGAAGCTGCTTCTACATATAAACACAATCTAATGGAATTCACTTATTTCTTACTAAAGCTACAAATTAATAGGAAAATAGTGCCACCCACGAACTTTTGAATTCTGGGGAGTAACAACAGAAGAGCAATACTGAATGAGCAAAACGACGCAAAAGCGCCCTAGCCAGGCGGGCCAATGGTAGGCGTGTATTTTATGTTTGTTAGTCCTGAAGAGGCCAACAAAATACCTATTTTGTGAATTAACCCTAGGCGGTAGAAGAGTGCCTGCCAGCCTCACACTCAGCTAAGCTCACTTTGGAAGCATCTAGCCGTCCAGTGACTCAGGGAAAATAGCCACTTTCGCTTCATCACTCCCAGAATTAGAATGAAGAAAACCTACCCCTACCTCGGAGACTTTGACCTAGACCCTGTGACCCCGTTCCTCACTCCCCGCCTCCCCACCCGCTCCCCGGCTTCCAAGGGAGCCCCTCCCCAGGACTCATTCAAAACGCCTCGTCTCCCAGCTCTCAGCCACCAGCCCTCCCGCGGAGGCGGCCACCAGCCCTCCCGCGGAGGCGTCCCCCAGTTAACCCTTCATAGTCTGCGGCTCAGAGTCACCGGTCCCCACCCTCGGCTCCTCCACCAACCCCGAAAGAGTCACAGACAACCCCACCAGCCGCGCCCTTATCCCGGCTGCTGCCACCCCTCCCGGCCCGCGCGCCCACGTCACACCACGCCCCGCCCCCCACGTGACCCGCGGCCCTAGCCCGTGGTCCCCGCGCGGCGTGGATCGCGGCCGGGGCCGCCATTGTTCCGCCGAGGGAGGACAACCGGGCCCCGCACTGGCGCCGAGACGCCGCTTAGCGGCCGCCACTGGAGACACTCCATCCCGCCGCCCCCCCTCCTCCCGGCGGTGGCGGAGCGAGGTCGAGAGGGGGAACTGGGAGCCCCCTCTCCTCCCGGCGGCCGCGGGGGCCGATCCCTGGCTTCGGCGCGAGGGGCGGCCGCGATGCGCTCGGCCTGAGGCGGTCGGCCCGGCCCTTCCTGGCTGCCCCTGACTCTTCCACGGCGTCTCTGCGCCCCAGCGTCATCCTCGGAGTCCCTCTGACGGGAGGGAAGATGGCTGCACGGAGCTGGCAGGACGAGCTGGCTCAGCAGGCCGAGGAGGGCTCGGCCCGACTGCAGGAAATGCTCTCGGTCGGCCTAGGCTTTCTGCGCACGGAGCTGGGCCTCGACCTGGGGCTGGAGCCGAAGCGGTACCCGGGCTGGGTGATCCTGGTGGGCACGGTCGCGCTCGGGCTACTGCTGCTCTTCCTGCTGGGCTACGGCTGGGCCGCAGCTTGCGCCGGCGCCCGCAAGAAGCGGAGGAGCCCGCCCCGCAAGCGGGAGGAGGCGGCGGCCGCGCCGGCCTCGGCCCCTGAGGACCTAGCCCTGCTGAAGAACCTCCGGAGCGAGGACCAGAAGAAGAAGAACCGCAAGAAATTGCCCGAGAAGCCCAAAGTAAGTAGGGGAGGAGCGGCCGTAGAGCGCAGTAGAGTAGGGGCGAGGGGCCCCGTCGAGCGAGGGGGAGGCCGATCCCCAGCCGCTCCAACTGAGATTCAAAAGGAAAAGATTGAAATTAGTCGAGAGCCGGACGCAGGTTTCCCCGACGGAGGAGGCGATCGGGGGACACGTTACTTGGGGGGGAATGGTGGAAACTCGGGAAGTGTCGGACGGGTAGGTAAGACAGTTTCGAGGAAGGAAGTTGGACAGTCTGGGTTATGTTTAAATAAAAGAGCCCGGAGGTCAAGCCATTTTCGAGAACGTTAACCGCCAGAAGAACGTACCAACTCTCCTTGAGGCCTGCCGGGTAGGCTGCGTGTGTAATGGGACCTTAAGGTTGGGTCGGGAAGTTCTGGAAGGACTGCGCTTGGAAGACAGATGTCTAGTTCAAGTCACATTGAGACCGTAGCCAATGAACGAAATGCCGTGACCTAAAAACTCTGGGGCTTACAGAGGATTAAAGGTACCGAGGTCTAGACGCGCTTCCATTTTAGTAGGAACTGTTAAAGGGAAATGGTTCCCCACTCTTATTCCTGTGAAAGTGGCCAATGGAGGCCGCAACAGGAGCAAGGCAAGAAAGAGGGAGTCGGTTGTCTGGTGGTAGACTTTCGGGTGCATGGCTCCAGGAGACAGCTAAGGCTGTTCGGCAGAGTAGTGTGGGAGTTTGAGAAATAGAGTAAAAGGGGATGACAGGGCAGAATGGTGCAGGCTGACAGGTTTTCAGGTTCGGTTTGCCTGACCACGTGTAGGAATGCAGAGAGCGTCACATCTGCTTTATTATGCCTCGTGTTTTATTTCTGCTTTCTTTATTACCATTTCTCCGTGTTTCTTCTGTTATATCTTTCATAGTTTTATTTATTTAAAAAGTACTTAACAATTGAGCAATAGAGTATGAAGGATGTGCAGAGCTAGAATCAGTTCCTACCTGACCTTTTTTTTAAAAAAATATATCCACTGAATTGTGCTCTTCCCCTTTTCAGTGCAATAAAGCAAATGTAACCAACGCTTTTACTATGCGAAATTTACTCTGGTGTTTGGTGGGCAGTGGGAAGTATACATTGAGGTTTTAGAGGCTATCGTGGAGACTAGTGTAGGAGACAGACTCATAGATAGGTCTAATATTGCATAAACTGATAGTTCGTGTAAATGTGAGCAGTGTTGATGAGATTTGGAGGGTGTGAGACTAATTCCATCAGAAGAATTTAGGAAAGTTGTTAGAGGAGGTGCGATTTCAATTCAAAATGAAGTAGTGAGAGTATTGTTGCTACCAGTATAAAGAAAAAGGCTGTATTAGAGACTTGACAGGTCACAGTTAGTGTGTTGTTAGGCCTAGATACGTATTTACATTTTGAATTGGATTAAGAGGATGCAAGCTACATACAAAACCTAGAAAGGGGTACAACTTTGTCAATAGGAATACTACCTTTAGTTAGTAGAAGGAAAATAGTACTGATTTGGAGCATATGTAACTGTATTTAAATGTGTAGAGAGCATCAAGGATTACCAGTAATATGGTGAAAATAGGGAACCTGGCCCCAAGATGAGGAAAGGCAATCTTGAAAAAACCACGTGTATTAGTAAGCCTAATCCCTGTATGGATGAAGCGGATTGTGACATTTTCAAAGCCCTCCTTGAGATGTCTAAAATTTCAGATAGGCTACACTCCATTTGAGAGACAGGTGCCCCAAGAGCCCATCCCAAGTGCATAACTCAGATGACTCATCTGAGGGAATAAACAGATCTTCTCTTAGCTTTGGGGAGTAGAGAATAGGAAGAAAAATCAAATGGTTGAATGTTAATTGGGTGAGAAAATCTTTGCCTACCTAATAGTAAAAATGTGTCGCAGTTTATTAACGTTTACAAAATTGTGGCTTTCGAGCTTTTTTGACTGCAGCCTACAATAGGAAATATATTTACATTACATTACCCTCCCATACACATATCTCACTATTGTTCATTTTTCTTTAATGATATGTGTGACCCACGAAATTTGACCTGTGATTATGAGGCAGGACCCACAGTTGGGAAAACATGGCTTTATACGGCTAAAAAGTATAAACTGCTCCCCCCTTTTTTTTTAGTGCTCATACACTTTGCACCAAGCTAAGTATTTACTTGGGAAAAAGCAGGATACTGCTTGTAAAATCTTGTAAAAAGAAATACAGTATTCACATTTTCACTGAGGAGGGAATACAAAAGTAAAAGCTCAGTTTCTCCCCAGGGAGCTTTTTACTCCCCGTTGTGGAAAAAGATATACTCAAAAAGTTAGCAATGCAACCCCATTGAAAGACACAATCCCAGAATTTGACTTTGAAAGTGGGTAGAAGCAGGATAGCGGGAGAGGCTGAAGAGACAGCAAAAGCCTCACTCTGTTAGCCTGGCAGAGATGGGGAACTCTAAACTCGAGTAAGGCATTTAACCTTGCTCTGTTTAGCTTATCTTGTCTATAAATTAAAGATCTTAGTTGAGTTAAAACACTGCAGGATTCCGAAAAGTGTTACCCCTGACTTCTCGCAGTAGAGTTGCTTTGAATTAATGCTTGTTAAAATTTGTAGATTCCTGAACCCCTCCAACAGATCTTATAAATTCAGAATCTCTAAGGTGGGCCCAAGGAATCTGCACTTTTAACAAGGATTCATTGGTAAATCCTTGCCTGTTAGTTTGAAAATCACTCACTGGAATAGGTCCACAAGAGCTATAGTATAAGAGAGAGTTCTAAGTACAGTTAAGTTTAATCTTATCCATCTCTTCATTACATCATTCTGTATGCATTTTAGGATACACTTATTCAAGAGGATTCAGTAATGTAAACTGCAGTTTTATTTTCTTTTATTCCATTATTTTTAGTTTTCTCTTAAATCATTCCAAATTTCGCAACATAGATTTTCAAAATTTGCTTCTAGTAGCTTGTTTGTATTTTTAGGGTTGGTGGTATTTAGCTTTTCAAATCTATTCATAAGTGTTCTTTGATATTTTTATATTCGATTGGTTTTTATCTTCTCATAATATCTTGCTATAGGTCTTTTTTTAGGGCATGAATTGTAGTGTGTTCCCTTATTAAAAGTGAAGGGGGTGGCACTTTTCACTGTGCCTAGTTCTTGGCACATTTGGAAGTCATTGTTATCTTACATGCATTTTCCACGACAGCTAGTTCAGTGTATTATTATCTTTTAAACTATGAAATTCTTTTTGTGGTTATAGCTTTTCCATTACTATTTAACCCTCTTATACCCCCTCTTCCCTGCAGTCATCACACTGTTTGTTGTCCGTGTCCATGAGTCCTTTTTCCTCGATGTCTCCCTCCCCCACCCCTGCCTGCACCCAGTAGCTGTCAGCCTGCTCTCTATGAGCCTGTCTCTGTGTTGCTTGTTAGTTCAGTTTGTTCATTAGATTCCGCATATAAGTGAGATCATATGGTAGTTGTCTCTCTCAGACTGGTTTATTTGATTTAGCATAATGTTCTGTAGGTCCACCCATGCTGTTGCAAAGGGTAAATTTTTCTTTTTTTAAGATTTCATTCATTCATTTATTCATTTATTTATTTATTTAATAATTTATTTATTTTTAGACAGAGGGGATGGGAGGGAGAAATAGAAGGAGAGAAACCTCAGTGTGTGAGAGATACAGCAATTGGTTGCCTCTCCCACGCTCCCAACTAGGGACCTGGCCCACAACCCAGGCCTTTGCCCTGACTGGGAATCGAATTGGCAACCCTTCAGTTCATAGGCTGGCACTCAATCCACTGAGCCACACCAGCGAGAGCTAAAATTTTCTTTTTTATGGCTGAGTGGTATTCCATTGTATCGAGGTCCCATAGTTGTTTTATCCACTCATCTACTGATGGACACTTGAATGTATTAAACAGGCATTCAGTGAAAAATGTTCACTCGATTTAATCTGAGCAATGAGTTAGATGGATGTGAGATCTCAAATAACCGGTCTTTAACTATCGTTGCTTTGGATTTCAACTTGGAAGCACATAGCCAGGATCAACTTCAAAGAGAATTCATTTTAGTAAACAAGTTATTTTTCTATCAGTCTAGGAATTTTAATAAAGATTTGGCATGATGCAGTTGTCAGTGTCTCTAAGCTCAGTGAATGAAAGAGTAGTGTTTTTGTCTCCTTTGCTGCTGTATAACCTTTCACAGTGCTTGGCACTCAATAAATAATTATTGAATGCATTATATATATGCATAGTGAGATGTCCCACCCAAATAGTTCTACAACTTATTCCTATTCTTCATGCCTTATGAGCCACCTTTTTCTTTTTACATTGGAAGATGGCTGTGTTTGCTTCATCTGGCTAATATTCTGCAAAGTTCATTTTTCTACAGCCAGTAGGTCATTCTAATAATATTCGGTGTTTTCTGTAGTTGGTGCTTCTTTTCTAGTTGCACTGTTGATGCCCTACATTTGGGCTCTAGTACATTTTGCTTAGATTATCCTAACGACATCCTAACTGGTTTTCCTGCTTCCAGCCTCTCTTTGTTGCCAATCCTTTGTACCCACTCATGTTAGTTAAATTTTTTGAAGCCCAACTGTAATCAGGTGACTTTATGTGTTCACATCTTATCAGTAGTATCCCCATCACCTTTTGAATAAAACCTAGCCTGTGACATGGCACTCAGGCTTATTCATGATCTGACCTCAGTTTAGGTTTATCTCTAACTATACCCCTCAGGCATTACCGTTAGCTAGACTGTGTATTTCTTTATTCATATTTTTTTTAATTAAAAGGTCCTTCTCTTTATATCTGTGCACATTTCTACCAATCCTTCAATGAGATACAACTACAGTGCCACCTCTACTATAAAGCCTTCCCTAGCTCCCCAGAGTTACTCTTTTTATATGTGCATTTTATATGTTTTATGAGAGCTAAAACCGGAGGCAGAGCGTTGCCTGGCAGCATGCCTGTATGGTGACTCGGGTTTGTTTTTTTTTAAGCTCTGTGCTTGTCC